TTATGAGTGTGACTTTTATGGTATTTTGGTGGATATAATCGAGTTAGAGTATTTTGGTATTGAAAACATAGGTGTGTTATTTAAATGTCATTAGTTTGACATTGAAAAAGGTATTAAGGTAGACCATTTTCATGGTCTTGTTGAAATTAAACACAACAATCAATACTTGCCATTAACGAACCATTTGTTTTAGTTGGACAACCTTACCAAGTTTATTATAGTAGTTATCCATCAACCAAAAAAGATCGACGTGATTGGTGGGCAGTATTTAAAACAAAAGCTAGGAGTATATTCCACTTTCTAAGTAGTGGAGATAGAGAAAATGAAATTGGTTTGAATGAAGAAGTATACCAAGAAGATGATATGTTTATTCCAATTAATGTTACTCCGTTGGAAGAACTTGATAGCTCTATAGTTTTAGCAAGTGATGATTATGAAGAGATTAATCTCTTGATTGAGGATGAAAAAGATGACATGCAATGAGATAAAGATGAAAAGATGACATGGGAGGAGATGAAGATGAGGAAAATGTTGAAGATAAAGATGAAGATGAAGAAAATGTTGAAGACAAAGACGAAAAAACTTTTAGTGATGGTAGTAATAATAATGAAGAACATGAGTTTGCTTATTTTGAAAGTGATTGATGATGGTAGACATATATGATATTGGTTTTGTATCTTTTGTTACATAGTTGTTTAACGTAGTTATTAATATTGGAAGATCTTGACATGTTATAAAATTATTATAGTTTATATTTTCAATTGTTAAAATGAATACTTTATAATGGCATCGTTTATTGTGCACATGATTAGGAATTACCCTTGATTGTTGGAATTTGATGATTTTTATATTTTGTTTCAATTTTTTTAAAAATTGTGTGTGAATTTTAACAAAAAAAAATGCAGGAACAATTAAAGGGAAGCATTCCAAATCGAGACCAAAGCAACAAATGCCTTTGAAATTATGTCATCATCTATAAATGCCTATGCGTTTCTTAATCCATCCACTCAACCACAGATGTAACAGGTCAATGATGTGCCTTTCGAACCACCCTTTTTGCTGGGTGCATTAGCAAAGCAAGTAGATAATGAGACATCTACTCTTAATTCTCCTAGATCCACATCTATTGATTTAGGTACACATGTAGATGGTACATCCTTAAGGTCAAGGGGTAAAGGGCTTAGGGTAGGATTACAAACTCTTATAAATCCTTCCAAAAATATTGCGTATAACTCCTATTGAAAACATGTATGTTATCTTATATTATAATTAGATAGTTATGTTTGTTATATAATTTACTATGCAATAATTTTCGTTTATCTTGTACAAGTACTTTTTTCGAGTGAGGGTTCATAGCTACAATAACAAGAATCATAAAAAATCACTTCCATGATCCATGGCCAACATGGAGGATAGTCCTTAATGATGTAAAAGAGTTAATGCTTAAAAAATTTCAAGTACTATGTTTGTTATTCAATTAAATTATAACTTTTTGTTTTTAATTAATTGGTATCAATTTTTTTAGTTACTCTATTATTTTAATGTAGAAAAATGTGTTTGGCCTACAAATCAAAATGTTTTGGTTCAACAAATATGGGATAAAATTTGTTTTGATCAGGTAAAAGACATATTTTTAGAAGAGAGAAATAAATCAATGACAAAAGCCAAAACAAACAACATTAGGGATTGCAATGGCATGTCAAGGGAATGGATCACAAATGAAAGCTGGGATGCCTTTATTGATATAGTATGAGGTATAGAAGAATGGCAAAACAAATAGAGAAAAGCAAGGCAAAATCATTTAATGCCAAAAGAAGAAAGCATTCCAAAGCACATTGGCGATTCAACTCCATTTGTTGTTCATTCAAAAAGGATGGTATGAATTAATCTTACTTGGCATTTATATGTATGATTTTCTTTTAAGCTAAATTTAAATTGTATGTAGTTTGACTTTGGTTTTTCCTTACATGATATTTATATATATGGATTATGATTGAGTATATATAGTTGTAAATAAATGTAGGCAATTGAGATGGAACAAGATGCTAACTTTTTGGAAGTGTTTAACTGCACCCATAAACGTTTAGCGAGTCATAGTGACTTTATAGACAATAAGTCTAAATCTACTAGTGTATGTACAAAATTAATTGATTTTTACTTCAAAGTTAACAATATAATTAAATACTAATCTTTTTTAATTTTTTTGTAGGAAATGTATAATTCTGCTTTATCACTGAAGTATGGTGAAGATTTATCCTCTCAACCAAAATTCGATCCGCATGCTTGGACAGAAGTGATTGTAGGATAGAGACTACACGTACTCATGCATATGGGTTTAGTACTTGGGTGCCTGTTACAACTCTACTTAATGGAACACACAGCAATACAGCAACATTTGAGTTAGGGTGTAACCATATTAACTCAAACTCTACTAGTCCTGCAATCGTATTGGAAGGAAAAGTGAAAAATCTATCAAAAATCTTGGGTAAGATACTTGAGGAAAACGTGGAGAAATATGTGAAGAAATTATGAATGCAAAGGTGGAAACCATAAGTGAACTTATGGCACGTATGGAAACAATGATCGTATCTAATGCACTTTCAAAACAAGGAAATGCGGGAACTTCAAGCTCAAAACTTGACAAGTAAGAATGCAACATTTTATGATATGATGTCTCTATTTCATTGTTAGACTTGGATACTTTTTTATTATGGGCATATAATGGCATAGTTAGCTTTATGTGTTCGACATTTTTAGATATTGTGTGTTTATGATGATTTTTAATTGTATGAACTTGACTTTAAATTTTAGTTTTTAATGCGTGTTTCTCTTATAAATTTTAAATGTCAATTACGTCAATTGATAATTTATTATTGAAATTTTAATTGCCAATTTTCATTAGAAAGGTATTATCTTCAAAACATTTCATAAAAAATTAGTAAAAGAATTTTCGTTGAAAATACACCGCCAATAGAACATTCTATTGAAAATGTCCAATGGAATTCCATTGTAAATGTTTTTCCAACAAAAAATTCCTTTGGAATTTTTTTACGAAATTCCATTAGAAATGCTTTTCCAACGAAAAAATTCCATTGGCAGTTTTTGATGGAATTTCATGGAAAATTTTCAATGGAATTGCTATGGTACAGTCGACAGATTATGTATTTTTTTCAATGAAATTTTTTGTTAAAAATTTCTGAAGGATTTCAAATGGAAAGTATTTCCAACGAGGCTTTACCGATGGAATTTCCAATGGATTTTTCCATTGTAAATCCATCAGAGAAAGGCATTTCAAACAGAATTTTAACTTTTTTCAATAGAAAATTCTATAAAAAAAAACTTGTTTTTGGGTGGTGTATAATGCCTTTTTAAGGAGCATGCACAACCTCTACAATGCCTTTTCAAGGAGCAAGCACAACCTCTACAATGCCTTTTTAAAGAGCAAGAATACCTCTATGAAATGGATTTTGCTAGGTAAGTACAAAGGAGGAAGAATGTGTAACGAGTGTGTACAAGGATTGGAGTGAAAGCACAAAGAAATTTTTGGCTCAAGTAAGAATGCTTGTTTTTTGCTCAGTTTCTCTCTCTTTGTTTTGCAAGATTTGATTCTCAAGTGTTTGATATTTTTCTCACTTCCTCCGTCCCCTTGAATGCTTCTTAATGGTTTTTTTTTTTTATAATCAGAGGGGTCTTCGAGCCATTGGAGTTGATTCAATGAAAATACTAGCCGTTTGTCTTTTGAAATTTATGTTTAACAGATATCTATGATCGACAATAAAAGTATGGGAGTTGATCTTTTATGGCTACAAAGCTTTTCCTTCATCAAATCTATGCTTGTAAGATCGAGTTTTTAAAGTGGAAGTCAATCCTCAACTCAAGGCTTGCTTTATTTCTTTTTGTGTTGCTCTAGGATCAAGTATGGTAATGTGCAAGTCGATCCTCTAAGCTTCCAAGGGCTCTTTGGCTTCTTTTGTTCCTTCTGGGATTGAGTATGCTTGTTCAAAGGCGATCCTCTAAACTTCCTTCACTTTTTCTTAGCTTGTTGCCTTAAGATTGAGTTTCACGATCTTAAGTCAATCCTAAACCCAAGGTTTCTTCTCATTCTTTCTTCAGTGGTGCATATAGAATCGAGTATGAAATAGTCAAAGTTGATCCTGGTTCAGTAACTTTGTCACACATGCTTTCTTAACTTTGAATCAAGCTTGATATTGTGAATATTGATCCTTCTTGAATTTCTTAAGGTAAACTCCTCGCTTTGTGAACCTATCTTGGAAATCAAACACTTCAATATCTCAAAAGTAAGGATTAGGGAGGTCATGAAACTTATTCAACGAAATTTGACACTCATCCAACTAAATCAATCAAGCTTGTAGATATTCAAAAGCAAGTGCATGAGAGTTCAATAATTTCAAGACTATTCAAGGATTACTTAAAAGTTCAAAGATCATTAATGCAAATTTTGATCATTTTTATTATTTCAAAACTATGATCATTTTAAAGCAAATAAGACTAACAATTGTATAAAATCCATTTTTCAAAAAAAAAGTGATAAAAATATTTATTAGATATAAAATAAATTTAATTAATTAAAAAAACAAAAATGGTAGTTTTAACTTTACTAAAGTTTCATATTCTTTAACATAAAAAATCCTGGTTTGTGAAGTCAAAACACCTCATATTAAATAAAAAAAAATCTTAGTTATAAAGTAAAAAAATTAATCAAATAATTTTTTTTTAAAAAAATAGAATTCTTAATTGCCCAAGCCTTTTCATGTTGATGTGAATGAATAGAAACCAAAATTGCCAAATATACATAATGCTACGAGAATTAATTGCTAATAAACCTTTACTTTAGTTGGACTAAAATGCGAAATCCTACATTTCCAACAACTTTACAATAGTTATTTGATGAAATTTACCATTTATCAGCTCTACATGATATTAAATTTTTGAGAATCATTACGTCAATAAAGAAGGATTAAAAAGTACGTAGTTCCACGTAAGGACAAATTAATAACATTTTATATTAAAAACAAAATAATAAAAGAGAACAAAAATGTCATGGCATTTTGGAGGAATCGAAACATACATGCATGTTCCAACCGCTTTATTGGTCACCATTTTGTTTGGCAGTCCGCCTAGGAAATTGCGTACAATGAATTACGTATTTAAAAGCATTGTTGATCTCAAGCAGCTAGCTCTCCCTCTCTCACTCCCAATAAATGTATTTGAGCGGAATTGGAATAGTGATTAAATTAATGAGTTCAATCAAATGCTGTAGGGCGGAGGCTTGGGCATGCTTTCCACGACGCCGCAAAGTAATGCGTTATCCGGAATGTTGTACTCGTCCCTCAAGGAGTGTTGCGGGGAGAGAACGCTCGCATAGAGCTGTTGGCCAAGGTAATGCCTGTCCCATATCTCGGACCTGATGTTCCACATTCCGCAATTGTCGAAAGTCAAAAGGATAGCAGCCCATGAATTGGGGAAGACCTGAATGGTATGCCTGCTCACCGCGTCCAGAAGATTGTAGTTCTTCCTCTTCTCTGGAGTCCATGTCCCAGTCTCGACGCTGCCAAGCAATGAGTAGCACAAATTAATCTTTTAATTAAAGCCTGTGCCTATATACATTAAACTTTCAAAACACGCAATTCATTCAATAATGATAACACTACTTACGCCACAGCGAAGAATGAATAGCCTGACAAGTGCCAGGACTGAATGGCTGTTTCACGGTTC